TTTTTTTTTTTTTTTTTGAACAAAATCATTGCTATAAATCATTGATACAATCCTCTCGCATGAATTTGTTGTTTAATTTTATTACGTGTACCATTTACAGCAATATCTTGACGCGAAATGAATATTTAAATAAATATTTTTATTGGCCGACAAGTCAAAGTTTGCGATGAGAATGAAAACATTGTAGAATTTTCGAAAAACACGATGTCGCGTTATTGCACAGATCAATGAGCAAAAGATCAATAAGACAAAACTTTATATAACTTTATATTACAAAAATTTTAAAAAAGAGAAAGAAGGGATTATAGAATGGCCTTTGTCACAGTGAATAATCAGATCGTGTGATATAAATCGTCTTGATAAAATTGACTAACTGGTGATTTATCGACAGAAGTATAGGTATATGTTTTTTGGCATTATATTTAATCCGTCTCAGCTTTGATTTATGATCAAGATTTAGCGAATCTCGTTTAGCAAACTTGCGTCAAGTGTCGAAAGCTGTACTCGACGCGCTCGCCATTTTGGCGAACACGATCTATTGTGATAAGCGCTCGATAAGCTGCAACTCAAGTTACTATTTAATTAGGACGAATCGAAACAACCAAAATAACGCTTGTTGTTACGACACGATATTTCTAAAAGGATAACACTCGAAACAGTGGCGTTCTACGAACTATTATTATTACATACTGCGCTGTTACTATTGATGATTATTCTAATTGCGTCATTGCGATGATTGTGATAATGTGTGTTTACTTGTCGCCATTGTTAGAAGTATGCTGGGGAAGAGGGGAGAGGTTTTTGAAAGCGCCACTGATTCGACGAATGTCACGTTGTTTCATTTTTGTTTCGTTAATGAATGAAAAGGCAAAAGAAGGCAGCGCAACAGGAGGTAGAGGGGAAAGACGTTTGAACAGTTTGGTGTAAGCGCATCGAAACGGAGACGGAAATGTTGATCAGCAAGGCTCGCTGCCGCTTTAAAAACATGTCAGAGAAGCACCTCGCAGAAGCTTACACTGCCCATCCGAATTTAGAAGCTGATTTATCCTGTGATTTCCAGAACGTCACACGGCATCATCCATAGAGCTATTGTATGTATAAATTATACTTATATTCGACCTCGACTTTCGAAGCAGAAAAATCGCGAGACACGCGCGCGGCTTAGAGGAAATGCAATTTCGTAAATCGATCAGAGACATCAACCAGCCATTCGTGCATTCGAAAATTGTTCCTGTTCCCCAAACGGGAGTAAAGAAACCTAGTGAAGAAACTAAACTATATTCAGAGGAAATCTTGATTTATTTTTTATCGACGAACATCGAGTTTAATCGTTTGTACGATATTCCATGAAACTCGAAGGCGAAATTCGATGTATAAAAAAATTGTTCTCTTTCCCTATTTTTCTATTGTTACGCGTGTCCGAGTATAAAGAAATTAGAGGTGGAAGAAAAGGCTTGGAAGTTCGAAGATCGAAAAAATTTGCGACAGTCGTGATTTTTGTCTAGTCGTCTAACGATT